CCTCTCTCCACCCAGGTGTATAAATGGGTACCAGCGAACTTAATGCTGGGGGTAACCCTGCGATGGACTAGCATCCCATCCAGGAGACAGTGGAAATACTCCTAGCCACTTGATACTAATGGAACCGGAATACGCTCCGGCCTGATGGGCCACTTGGCTTGTATGCAAAATTTACTTTTTACCTTGAATTCTTCATAGTAGTCTTCTTGCAAAGTATTAAAAATCTCTTCACACTTATCAAGAGTAAGCGCATCATCTTCAGAGGACAATGACTGTTGTCGACAACTATGGGGTTAAAAATAGGAAGTCAGTTATTTTGAGTACAGTAAAATCCCATGTGAAAGAACCTAATGGTTTAAGAACCTGCTGGCAGAAATTTGCCATTTTAATATCCAAAAATATAACAATGGGTGGTGGATAACAAGTACTGAGTTACACTATTGAGGCAGTACAAATGTTTCTTGTGTTACCTGTCAATCATATTAATAACCTCCATCAATCTTTTGATGTCTTTTTCCTCTCGTTCTAAGACTGCCGTGAGCTTCTCTTCCTCATGTTTCAGGTTCACCACAAGATCTCGCTCAAATTTCAATCTGGAAAGATGACAAAGATTCATAAAAACTGATGATTTACTTCAAAGCGGTCTCAGCATAGATCCTTTTCATAAATGGCTGCCGATTTAAAATTCTTTTGTATACATTTAAATTAGCCTCTCTAACCTCATTTGAGAGTAAAAATTCTTTTGAATTATCAACTTAAAAATGAGGTTAGTCAGGCTAATTTTCATAATTACAAAGGAATTTTTAATTGGCCGCCATTTATTAAAAGGGTCTATGCACTGGCAAGTTGTGGATATCAGGGATGTCATTAAGGGCTGTAAACCGTAGAAACTGTTACAGCTGAGTATGCTTGATTTTCCCTTGATACTGTGGGTGAAAATACCTGTTGTTTACAAAATTCACCCACAAAGTAACCAGTTGGTTATGGATGTGGAGAACAACGCTACAAGTGACTCAAAACTTGATGACAGCCCTGGACATATGTGATGAAAAAAAACAAAAAAAAAAACAGTTCCGTTAGTCTAGATCAAATAACTCAACCTGACATATCAGTTTCTTCTCATATTTTTCCTGAATATTTAACAAGACAAATGTTCAACTTGGTCAAGACACTCCATTCCAGTGGATACATGAGTAATGGTATCAACAGTACTGAAACAAACATTCTCTTCAAATGTGTATCATTAACTACTCATTAACTGAGAGTGGCATCTTTACAGGACATCTCAAACCAAGACCAATCCATATTGATTGAACAATAGCAAAGTCAATACAGCAAAGTCAAGGTTTGCAATTTTCCCATAAAGACCGGATGTTCAATTGAGGTTAATAAATTGTTTATTTTATGGCTTTTTGCTTTATTTCTGCAGGCCAGTGATCAGCCAGTGGGTGTTACTGGAGAATAATGCCCCAGAATTAGCCAATCAAAGAGTGTGTTTTATTGGCTACAGACACAAGCCTTATAACGAATATTAATGAATAGTTTCCACAAACATACAAATATAACAACTTACTGTCTGTCTGTTTGTATGATGTCAGTCTCTGCCATGTCAATAAGGAGGTTCAAGTTGTATGTTAATTCTGGCATAGAAAATGAAGCCTCTGCATCTCGAACTGAAAATAAACAAATTCTAATTCATATTTAATTCCCAAGAGTGAATAAAAAGCTAATTCCTAAATAATCAAGACTGCAGTAAAAAGGTTATAACAAATTTGTCTAATATTAGACAATATTATTTTTTCATGAGTGGACGTTGGATATGAGATGATAGCCTACATGGCAGGCCGTAGAAGGGGAGGGAAAGGATCAAAATGAATGTGGAAGGATCAAGCACGCTTCCATCATGTGCTTTGCACGCTCAATCCTCCTGCGCTTCGTGCGTTCGTTTTTCCCCTTTCCCTCCCCTTTGGGTGCCTGCCACACAGGCTAATGAGATGATAGATAGCCAACAAGATGCATAGCGCTAAGTTAGCTATAATCATCTGATATCCAACAAGTGCGAGTGGAATAATACATAATTGATTAATTAAAAATGCCCCACAAATATAGGAAACTAAAATAAATTAAAAATAACACACCCCAAAACATAATGTGGATGGCTTCCCATATTTTTAGAGCATGATATAGTTACCATGATGGCTACGCCAATGAAAGTCTTGAATTACATTATCCAATGATCCAGCTTTTAGTACTAAATAATTGTGCGGTTCCAGAAAATATCCATACTCCCCCCACAGAAGGGATTGGAATTTCCTGGGGGGGTGGAGGACCTTATGAGACCAAAAAAATTAAAGAAATGTATGGAGCTTAACTGGAATTTCCAGAGGGGTGGGGAGGTGCTAGAAAAAATCTCTTCCGTGGGGGAGGTATGGATATTTTCTGGAACTACACAATATATTAACCTAATGTAGTTGGAGGAACTTCTCCTGGCTTTGCATGCTGTTGGGCAATGGAGCCATAACCTGTCAGGATCTTGGTTTCAGGTCCAGTCATGTCGACAACCTACAGAGCAATGAGCAGGTTAGAATAAAGGTGCATACATGAAGGGTTTTACTAAATTTCTGAACATCATTTACCAGGCCTGTTCTGGGACAACATTTTTTGCTGAAGGTCAGCAACTTGTGCAGTCTCATTCCCAGGGTCTCCCATCTCTTCCCCCCCCGTGGAGCGAGAGAGGAGATGAGAGGCCCTGAGAATGAGGTTGTAAACTTGTGGTCTGTGGTTTTGGTTTGGCAAGAAGTCTGCATACAGCATTGGTCTAGAAATTACTGCTGCATTATTTCCCTCTCTCTCTCTCTCACTTCTCACATCTTATGCCAGATATGTTTCTTAACTTTCACAATCACCTTAATCTTGCTGTGCTTTAGAGATACTGATGGTCCCTTTTTGGTTCCTCCAGAAGCCTGCCAGAAATTGTGAATTTAGACAAATCAAAACGTTATTCCACTATTACGCATTTTACCGTATCAGGTCAAGAGAATGGGAAAAATACTAGCCAATATTGCAGTGTAGAGTAGTATTTTGTTTCATCATTTCCATGTCCATGCGATTGATACAAATTTTCAGTTGATGCAAGATATATTTTGAAAACTAGAAGTTAAAATACTAGAAAGTGGCATAAAATCCTTATTTAATGGTTTATAACATGTGGACATTTTGCTAATATATGCTTGCGTTTTCCTTGTCCCTTTGGGCCTCAGATAAATACTAAACAACTTGCAAAATATTTGTGCATATTACATGTTAAACAATCAAGTAAGGCGTATATATTTTGCTAAACCACACAAAATCACTCTGCTAGGTGCACTAAAAAATATTTCTGTTGACCACTTCCTTAAGAAAAAACCTTACTAATTTGATACTTTTAGAAAAAGAAAACATGCTACACTAGCCTGCTGAGTTTTACACCATTTTATACTATCTACTTGATTGTAAAATGCTAAAAATATTTATTTTTTGGCTGCAACCATTGTAAACATGGCATGATTTAACCTAGACTGGTAAGTTATCTCTTTTAGAAAGTAACCAATCCTTCACTTCCTATATGTAGTAAATACATCTGATCTACATGAAACACTGTACCTTGACTTCATCAGCAGTTTTGTAAACATATTTAGGTTTTGAATATCCCTGAAAAGAAAAAAAAAAAAATTAATTACAGTAACAATACAATATTGATTAATGATGTTGTCATTTTAAGTTACTTCTCACTTAGGTACCCTACATGCATATACATAAAATACATAGGTGGACTGTCAAAGCATTACGGGTAAGTTTTCTAGAAGTAGACATAACACCAAAAATTCACATAATTTGTTAAAAACATTCTCTGAATTATTTTTGGGGACCTTACATACATACAATGACAATGGAAAGGACAACACCTATCAGAAAGTCTAGATTTTACTTGTGAATTTTGCAATTATCTAGATATTTCCATTGTGTTCGGGAGGGATAAAACCTTACCCCTACTGAATATGCTACAAATGCATTCATATCCAAATAGAAATAAGAAATATTAGCCGTAGTGGTTCACATTCTCCAAAAACCTTGGAAATTAGTCATTTTAAGTTGTCAATTTGCAATGAACAGCTGCAAAATGTACAAATGTGCATAACACACATGAAGACCCATTGTTCTGCTCATTAAGCATTTTGTTTGCCAACGTTCTCATTGCTGTTGTCATCATGTTTTGCGTAACGTCTCTATTATTTTCTATCAGTTATGCACCTCATCTCGGTCTGTTTTCTTCCACTGTTGTAGTTGCTCTTTAAACTTTTCATCTTCCTCCTCTTCCTCGTCATAGTTAGGTCGTAACTGTGTACAATAATTACAATACAAATCAATGAACATGTACACGTAAGAGGTCTTTGCCCCTGTTTAGCAGGCAACATTAAACACAAGTCAATAAAAGTAAACTTCACCTTTATTCAGTGTTGATCCCTCTATAAACAGATGTGGTCGCCTTTTACAATTTACTACTGGTGTAATTTACTGCTTTGACCCTAGCCTAGATGTTTAAATCATAATGCAATGCACAACTCCATAAGCCACTATGGCAAAACTCTGACACAAAGGAAACAAAAACCTTAAGTTTTAATTCCAGAATAACATTAATTAACATTTTATTAACTTTTGGGATC